TCAATTTTAAGGTTAGGAGTTTCTTATTTGATCCTGAACCTAAATTAGAAATATGGATTCTTGGAATTTCTTAAGGATTTAAATTCTTAGAAATTTTGTGTGGCTAAGAGGGGTAAATGATTACGAGGCACTCAGTAAAGAAGAAATTTTGAACCAAAACATTTGTTTAGAATGTTCTTTATTAAAAACATATAGAATTTGGTTGAGAATCATGAGCTGCTTTCAACCATACAAATATTATTTTAAATAATAGTTTCAAATGAAGGGTTTAGGGCAGACTCGTAATCACGCACTTGCGGTGCCTGACTTTTTTTTTTTTTTTTTTGACAGTGCAAAGGTCAAATAATTACTGTTTTATATTGGGACAGTACATTTTATATTTCAACCAAAAGACAAAAATGCAATTTAACTCAAAGGCACAACAATTAAACACAAAAAATGGCATCAATTAAAACACAGAAAATAGCATGTTTTATGGTCAGTGTCGTATTATCTACATCTAATTGACAAAATGCCAGTGTTTGTGTTCATTAAGATACATTTGCCACTGAGAAAGGAATGAAAATGGTTTCAGAGATTTTAAAAAGTAGAGTATACATATGTGAAGAAAACATACTTTGTCGTAATACCTTTAAAAAGGAAAGTGTTTATATACGTAAAAGCCATGGAAGCACACCTCCTGAGCTGGCAGTAGTTTTGCAGATTTCCTTGGCAAATCTGATTTATATGGCTTGAACATTTCTCATTTTTACTTTTTCTCATTTCACAAACTTGGCCGGTCCCTAAAGATCTGCTTGGAAACTCGCTGTGCTAATAGGCGAAGTTGGCCTTTCCTGGGCTTCTCTTAAAGTAGCCCATCCACAAACACTGACCTTTTCGTTTAATAACAGTTTTATTTGAGAAAATGTTCAGATCCTGAGAGCTGAAAAGAGTGTTTGAGAGAAAGGCCATTTTAAATAGTAGTCTCCCAATGGTATATCTCCCCCCACCCCCCAATGCACTTTGGATCAGACCCATCAGAAGAAATACATTGTTGCTTTCTGTATCCTATTGATTTAAACACAAATAACATAAAACTTAGATTTGTTCAAAATCCATTACCGCACTGGTTTATTTTCCTGCCTGGGCTTGGATTCACTGTTTTAGATTTTAAACTCTTTATGTTAGGTCCTGTTTTATCTTTTGTTATTTTAAATTCTCAATGGCATTTAAAGTAATTACCTTTTCAGCTGTGACCTTGGAATTGTGACTGAAAGTTGTGTGTGTGTGTGTGTGTGTGTGTGTGTGTGTGTGTGTGTGTGTGTTTTCATTTCCAGAAATAGTTTGGGGCATGTGAGAGACAACTGTGCTTCAATCCCTTTAGTGACCGAACAAAAGCGTTGTCAATCAGTTTGTCCCTTGGGCCTGTCTTTCTCAATGGCCTCGAGAGTTTCCCACCCTTTTCACTGCTGCCTGCTTTCCTCTTCCACCTCTCTCTTTCCTCCTGGCCTACCTAGATGATACCACCAGTTGTCTCCATCTGCTTCTCACCTTTCCCCCATGGCAGGTGGCAGGGCTGATGATGACAGGCAGGAGGGCACAGAGAAAGAAGACAAGCCTCGAAGCCACGTTTCTTTCTCTGCAGTCTCTGCAGTCTCTCCCACATGCTTCCTTTCCAGCCACCCAGCTGGTCACCCTTTCGTAATGGAGTCCTTACCCCTCCGTTCCAGATGATCACATCATAATAAAAAAAGTTCACTGCTGATTTTGGTCTTTCCGCTGATAGGAAGCCCATATGTAAGAGGCATGAAACGCACTGTGAAGATATAAGACTGAATTAGCAGCTCGCTTAGGAAGCTGATCTCGTTGCTTCCTACTTAGGCCTGGTGCACTGACATCTTTCAGGAGCCTCGTTTTAATGGACTGAACGAAATGCAGTTGAATTGTGACTGAGAATTTGAATTTTGCCTGAGAAAATTTTTGCCGTGATAATTTGCAATAATCCGTGGCAAGTGGCGTGATTTTGCATGTACAGTTTGACTGTGTGTTGATCCTAACTGGTATGTTGAACTTCAGAGCATAGTTTGATCAGGTTGTACTAATTGGTTAAATGGTTGTTTCATTTTTTGCCACTAATAAAGCTCATAGCTGTGAACAACTCGATGTAGTGTCATGTTGTTTTGCTTGTTAATGAGAAGGAGATGAAAATATGAAAATCATTGCCTTGTGGAGTGCCTGGTCTAGAACTTCATAGCCAGCAGGCACCCATGCAATCCACCCGTCGTGCATTTGGATGAGGAAATCAAAACTCAGGTCGGTTAACTGATTTATCCAAGTCTAGCGAATAGGAAATCAGGGAGTACTCAGATTCTTTCCTGAGCTATTACAAATTTCTCTGCTGTTATCTGTATTGTTTTAAAACCTTTAATATTGGTCTACGGCCATGCTACCTTGAACAAGCCGATCCCGGCTGATCTTGGAAGTTAAGCGGGGTCGGGCCTGGTTAGTACTTGGATGGAAGACCACCTAGGAAGACCAGGTGCTGTAAGTGTAAAAAATAAAAATAGGGATTGTAAACTGACAAGGTCCTTGCAGTCTGTGAGGTCAACCAAAGTTTCCCTCACCTAAAAAAAAAAAAACCTTTAACATTGAAAAATCTGAAGATTTGCCTGAATGTAAACAGAATTCTCTGTATTAGTTTTTTCTTCATTTCGTGTGATCTTTTCAAAGCAGAAGTATGTACCTTTCTTATGCTCTAGTGTATACTATGAAGTAGGAGAGAAGCCAAGTGGCAGTGTGTAGTATATAGTTCAAAGGGATCCTAGAGAACATCCATTTGAGAGCCACATTTTGAGAAACTGTTGCCCAGTTCGTAACTTCCCAAGATCCACAGATTGTTGATAGCTTTGCTGGGATTAAACCTCAATTAGTGTTTATTATATTCCTTTGATTCCTTATCCATTGTTCTTATATTCCTTTTTTAACAGCCTTCTTGAGATACAGTCAACATATTATACAATTCACTAATAAAAGTGTACAGTCCAGTGGTTTTTAGTGTATTTACATAGTTGTGCAGCCATCTCATAATCTAATTTTAGAACATTTTCAACATCCTGAAAAGAAATCCTTTACTTAGTAGATGTCACTCTCCATTGTCCCCTTCCTCCCACCTCTGGCAACCAGTCTAATCTACTTTTTGAGTCTATGGACTTGCCTTTTCTAGACATTACATATTAATAGCAACATATAATATATGACCTTTATGTCTGGCCTCTTTCACTTAGCATAATGTTTTTGAGCTTTATCCATGTGGCAGCATCTATCAGAACTTGATAATTTTTTATGCCCAAATAAAACCACACTGAATGGATAATACTACATTTTGTTTATCTACTCATCAGTTGATGGGAATTTAGGATGTCTTCACTTTTGGGATATTATAAATAACACTGCCATAAATATTCATGTGCAAACTTTGTGTAGACATATGTTTCCAGTTTTCTGGAGTATATACAGTACCTAAAAGTGGAATCCATAGGTCATATGGTAACTATGTTTAGCATTTTGAAGAACTGTCTGTTTTTTACAGTGGCTACATAATGTTGCATTCCCACCACCAGTGTATAAGGTTCCAATTTCTCTACGTTCTGACCAAAACTTGTTATTGTTTGCCTTTTTGATCATAGTGTCATTGTGGTTTTGAATTGCATTTTCGTTAATGACGAATGCTGTTGAACAGTTTTTGCTGTGCCTATTGGCCATTTGTATATCTTCTTTAGAAAACTGCCTGTTTTAAATTGAGTTGTCTTTTCATCTGTTGTAAGAGTTCTTTGTATATTCTGGATATAAGTTACTTGTCAGCGGTATGATTTTCCAGTATTTTCTCCTTCTGTAGGTTGTCTTTTCACCTACTTGATGACGTCCTTTGATGCCGCTGTTGTTTTCTGATAGTCCAAAAATAAGAGAAAATGTTCCTATGACTTTTTCACATATCTTCTTGGTTATTATTGTTCAGTATCAGCAACATTTTAAAAAGGTTTTTGCATATCCTATCGTATGTCATTTTTTGTCTCTCCTCTGTGGTAAGAGGTTTATAATGCCCAGACCACCAGACACAGCGTTGTTACAGAGCAGAGACTGTTACCACTTAGCTATCCTCTTACAGGCTCAGCCATTTGACATAATAGGTCCTGTGTGTATTCCTAGATTCTTCTAAGTGTTTCTGGTACTCTCTTGGTCATATTTTTGGGCAGTGGGGTTCTAGTGAAGAGGGAATAGTCTCTGCTAGTAGAAGACTCTTAAGGAATATGTAAAATTTGTCTATTTTGTTTGCTATCATAGCTGTAAGAATCTTTACAAAACATATATCGTATAAAATCTTCTAATTGGAAAGACCAGATGTTTCAAATCAAGTCACCAGGTATTTAGAAAGCTCCAGCTGAGTTCTCAGCATCGTTCTGAGTCTCTCCAGTTGCTGGCACTTGAATTTGAATAACATATATTCCAAAAAATGTTTCAAAATTTTCATAAATGCCTTTATTTCATAAATCATGGAAAATGAATGTAAATACAAATAATGTCCTTTCTGCAATAAATTATTTTTTAAAGGTTTAAGTATCAAAGTGAGAATGCTTTGGTGTCGTTTTCTTCTGTAAAGTCCTTCCTTACATCCTCCCCTCCCTTTATTACGATTGTCAAACTTGAATAATAGGACATCATTTTAAAGAATTTGTACTTAATGGCTCGGTCCCCACTGGGCAGTAAGCAGCTCCTTGAGTTTATTATAAATTTTGGCAGATGTGGAAGTTTCTGGCTCACTAGGGAACTCATGATTAAATTACTCCTGAAATGCATTAATTGGTCTTTTACACAGTTCTTAGGTGGTTTCAAGGAGACACTGACCAGCTGGCAGGACTCTGCCCATTGAAATCTAGTCTCAGTTTTGTATTCTAGAGTATTTTCTTACTTTAGTTTTTAAGAAGTCACTTATTTTATCCCCTCTTACTCTTTGTTGATTGTAGTTTCTGATGAAGAATTGAAAAGAAGAGTAGCTGAGGAGCTGGCCCTGGAGCAAGCCAAGAAAGAATCTGAAAATCAGAAACGGTGAGTTTCGTGGTACGTGAGAGATTTCGGGGGACTTGTTATAATTATGACATGTTTTAAGATGATAATAAGACTCATTATTTGTGTCTGCTTGGACTTCAGAATGTGCTGAACATATGAACTTGGCCATTTTTGGTTTGGGATTGTGCTTCTTAAAGCCCTACGTTACCCTCTTCCCAAACTTGATTATAAGTGACCATTATATCTATTGTGTGCTTCTTTGTTGTATGAATACTGAGCCCTGTTTTCTTGATGTGTGGGAAGTAGTTCTTGAGGATTTTCTAGGAATTTTGCAGGCTAGTTTCTTTCAATGAATGTATTTATGATTGAAAATTGTATTGTCCACTTATGGATATTAAGGTTAGCAATATTGTAGCTAACAATTAATGTCATATGTTGTACGTAGTGCCCATATTAATAAATACACTAATTAATCCTATACTCACTTAAAAAAACTGAAGCTATAACAGAAATATATAAGGTTGAATAGTCAAAATCCTTCATAATTCCATTCTACAGAAATAACCAATCTTGCACATTTTATTCCTCTAGAATTTGTTTGTGTACGTGCTTCTATATTATTGTTGTCATCATTAATACTCCTACTGCTGCTACTAAGTTAAAAGAATGTTCATTGAAATGTTTTTGTAATAGTAGAAAACTGGAAGCACTTCAGATGCCCGTCACAGGGGACTGGAACAATGAATTACGGCATATGCCTACAATAGAATACTAGACAGTCAAGTAGATCTTTATGTGCTAATTCAAAAAGATGTTGAAAAGCTACAAATTGAAAAAAAGCAACGTTCAAAACAGCATAGATGATTTTTTTTGTAAAAGTACTACTTTTTAAAGACTTAAAATACATAGTTACTCATAAAAACACGCGAATACTCTTTAATCCAAGTTAGAGTCAAGTGCTTTCCATCTGTGCTACTCCCGAAATTTGCATGTGGCACAGAGCGTTATTATTACATGATCATGGAAATGCCTTTCCGCCGCGAGCACTATGCACTTGCCCGCTACTGGTAGAAACTGAGTATGTGTTCGTTTTTATTTTGGACTGCTTGGCTGTTTTGCATGAGGGAGCCAAATGTAGAGAATCTGATTTGGATTCCTGTCTCCGATGGCCACTGGGCCTTTGACATACAATTTAACTTCCTTCGACCTTAAATATTTCACCTCTAAAGTGAGGGGTTTGAAACATGTTCTCCAGTATTTCTTTTCTTTTCGCAAAGTGCTAACTTAACTACAGTTTGCTCGAAATGTGTGGACCAGGACATGAGTTTTAGGTTAAGACCACCCTTTTCTCAGGAACTAGGGTTTTAAAAATCAAGATGAAATCGGTAGCGCTAAAAGGATCTGTGTGTATTTGTATAGTTTCCCATGCCGCACTTTATAATTATTTAATTGAGTTAGTCTGATAGAGTATATAATTAGATGGTCAAGTTAAAACAGTCAAAAAATATTTCAGATCATTTTCATTGAGAAGCAAAGAAAATCAATGTTATGGTAGAATTTCTTGTCTTTGAAATTTTGTTATTTTTGATTGAATTTTATTTTAATAAGAATTTTATTTGGCCAGACTCTTATGCTTACTTGGCTTATTATATTTCATGTAGGATTTTTTGTCTTCCTTTCACCCCATATAGTACAGACTTCTTCTTATAATAACTCTCACTGTGCCTTTTTTTTTATTCCTCCTTCATTATTCAACCCCATTTGCTCTGCCTTGATCTATAAGAGGTAAAGTGCAGATGAGATGAATAGAAGGTGCCAGTGAAAGCAAATTTTATATCTCAAGTAGACTGGGGTTGGCAGCCTAGCTGTAATCTGGACAAATGACTATTGATAAAGAATTTATTTTCTGTCGTCTTTAAGGAGAGCAGAGGGTGGTACAGCCTTTTTATTATTTTTTCTTTTAAAAAAATGTTTTGTTTGAAGCCTTCTTCATGAAGGCTTCCAGCTGTCAAGTCTTGGCACAAAGTGTGTGTTCATCTATGTGATGGTTCTTAGAAGAATCAATAGCTATTTTTTTTTTTTTCCCAGAGAAGAAACTTCAGAAAAAGCATTAAGAGAATTTTATGTGTAGTCTTTTAAAAGCAACTTCTTGGTATCACAAAGCATTTATACACTTTTGTGTCTTTTGCCTTAATTGAATAAAGCCTTGTAAGCAGTTTTAGAAAATTATTCGTGGTCCATTGTTTCAACACATCTGTGTCATCTATACCCCTATTCACTCTACCTCTGTGGTAAGTGGTAAGGAGAAGCAGTAACATTTATAAAAAACTGTTGAACTTTGTGGCAAGGAAGTATTCTGAAATGTCTTCTGTCAGGTTTAAATGCGGACCTCGTTTCGGTTAGTTTTTTTTTTTTTTTTTTAGTTGAAAGACTGAAACAACTCTGGCTAACCTTTTTTTTTTTTTTTAGAAGCATATTAGATAGCTCAAAAGAAAAGGAAGACCAGAGAACCACTAGCTAGGGAAGAATTGGGTACTACTAAAACCATACACAGTGGGAAGAGGTAGTTCCTCAAAAGAAAATCAGGATGGGGGTTCCATAACAAAGGGGAAAGGCTGGAGGGTGGCTGAATTTCACCGAATTGACGATGCCATTGATTTTAAGAAGCATTGTATTTGATGTACCACTAAGAAAAAAAATCGCTGCAAATTATAACACAATAGTTTATCTCTTAGAATTTTCTTATTGAAAGAGTCATTAAGACTGATTTTGAATTTTTAAAAGCATCAGTTGTGTATTCATGAAAAGGAAAATGTAAGCAAAAAAAAAAAAATAGGTTAAGGCAGTGTTCTCAACTGGGGGAGATTTTGGTCCCTAGGGGACATCTGACAATCTCTGGAGACATTTTTGGCTGTCAAAACTTGTCAGGTGTTATTGGCATCCAGTGGTTAGAGGCCAGGGATGCTGCTAAACATCCCATAGTATGCAGGACAGCTGCTACTTCTGCCCCTTGTCCTGAACAAAGAATTATCTGGCTTATCATGTCAGTGTGCTGATAGTGTTCTTAAAACCCGTTCACAGTGGGTTTATTTCTTCTGAGTCACTCTTTGTCTCAGGGTCTTGCTGTCCTCGTTTTTCCTCCCGACATCGTATTCTTTGCCGTCAGAACCTTGGCTACCCAGCGTTCTTTAAGTGATCGCTCCACTGTTGTTCCTGGGATTTTCCAGGCTGCTGACACCAATTTTGCGGATTCTGAGGCTTATGCTCAGACTATGACAACTATGCAGGACTGCTGTCTGGCAGACAGCAATTGTAAGTTGCTTTCAGACAAGTGAAAAGGTGGAAAAATGCTCCTAGAATTGTAGCTCGTCAGTACAGTCCGTACACACTCTAGACCCTAACATCTATGGGGATGGAAGTGACTCCTTGAGTGTCTTGCCTTACCTCCCACCTAATGCAGAAGCCCTGTTATAGCATCTCTGACTGGTAATGAGTGGCACACACATTTAGATGCCATTCAGAAATCGTTTAAACTGAAGATATTTCATTAGGCCATTTAAAATTTACCTGAACTCATCTACGGCTTTGACACCATGAACAAGCCTGATCCTGTCTGATCTCGGAAGCTAAGCTGGGTTGGGCCTGGTTAGTACTTGGGTAGGAGACTACCTAGGAAGACCAGGTGCTGTAGGCATAAAAAATAAAAAATAAGAGATTGTAAGCTGACAAGGTCCTTGCAATCTGTGAGGTCAACCAAGGGTTGCCTCACCTAAAAATAAAATAAAATAAAATAAAATTTACCTGAACTCCTTTAAATTTCTACGTTCTTAAATCTAATATGCAGACGTGTCACGATTGAAAGTTGCTTTACAGGAGAAGTTTTCTACTGGGTCACAGTGATGATGCAGCTAATTGTAAGTGCTGTGACTATCTGTTATATTTTCAATTCTAAAAACCATTCATACATTAAATCTCAGTTTATCTTAGCTCTGATTCTGTTTTATGAGACTCTTGAGTGATTTGCTTAATTAACAAAATCATGCCCCCAAAATTCACTGGCATAATATTAGTATATGCACTAAAATGTTGAGTCTAATTTGGAATCATAGTTTTGCTTATCACAACATCTAATGGATAGAATAGTTCTTTGGTGTATTGAGAGTCAGGAGTAAATTAAATGTCGATGTCAGCAGTTTGTTTTTGCTGTCATACTCTATTGTGTATTTTGGATTATAGCTGACCATATCATGTTGTAACCATAGCAGGCCAGTATAGCAAGGACATAATATGCCACATTTTGAGTATAGACTTTTAAAATGTGATTTACTTCTCTCGTGCACCCTACCTCTAAAAGTCAGTCTCTGACAGAAAGAAAAATGTGACTACTTCTGACCTCTGACCTTTGGCATTTGAATTTCACCTCTTTACCTATAAAGGCAAGTGAAAGTGTTTCAGTTTTAATAACCTTTCTTCAAGGAACCAAGAAGGGGAATAGCTACTTGATGCTGTAACTAGCTACACATCAACCAAGATTACTTGCTTGCTGTTTTTAAATGGACATCTAATGAGATTTCTCCCACTTTGAAACACTCGGAAAATTAAATTAGATTTGTGAGACTTAAAATAATTAATAAGTGGTTTAATAAATTAGTCATAAATTTTATTAGCTCTCTGGGTAAGTTAGAATATGGTACAGTCCTTTTATTTTTCAATTTATAGCATCAAATAAGGACTTAAAACTTTTTGATACTTTTTAGTTTCTCATAGCAGAGGTGACATTTATAGAGATGGTACTTCTGTTTAAATTCATTATGTGAAAGAAATCATTTTAATTTTATTATTAGATATTTTTCTGCTTTTGGAGGAAAAAGCTGAAAAAAGAAGGAGGGAAGAATCCACTAGAGCCAAACAGGGTTTTACAGGTTAGCATTGCACTGAAAATACATAACGTAAGAAATCATCTCTCTGCTTAGCCTGGAGCCTCTCACATAGTAAACTCTCACAAGTGTTTGTTCAATTGAATGAATCACGAGGATAGG